GTGTTTGAGGCGCCCGATATTCAAGTTGTTTACATTTCCAAGTAAGGCAACCTCCACTTATTTGATCGAAGTTTGACAGGTTATGAAAGGAGGATGGAGTGGGGTGGGATGCGTTGGGATGGGTTGTTCCCACCAGGGTGAATAACGGTCGAGGAATTCCTCGACCATGGCTCTCTACCGTGCGAGAGTAGTGTCGAGAGTGAATGCGCGCGGAGAGCACAGACGGCTCGCGGGTGGCGAGAGTGAATATCCGCGCGGGAGAGCGTGAAGAAAAATCCTCGACGAGCCGTTGTCGTTTCCTCGGCCGATTTTCACCCTGGTTCCCACTGGCCTTTCGAATAGAAGGTGGGCGTTTAGCCATTCAACTATTAGCGCCACGGATCTTTCATAAGAGATGTTGAAGTTAATGTTGGATTTGATGATATTTCAAAAGTTATTTCAGCATTCGTTCACGATGGCCGATCCAAACGGTCACAGTCCATGCGTCTTTCTGAAGGCGCAAGCGGCAATGGCCGATGCGGCGTATTTGAAGTTGGACGCTTCACGGGTCAATGGCATTCAAGTGGAGCAAGTAGCTGACTTTGCCCGTATAGTCACCTATTTCTCCGATCCCTTTATTAGGCAACTGGTAAACAAGTGCAGCTTTCATAATAGCTCTCTTTTTGATTTGAAATTCTTCAATCTACAGCTTGTCCCACCCAATGATTCGAACTATGTGGCTGAACTGCTGAAGTTCCATGAGGTTTTGCTGAAGAAACTTGGTGCAATGAGCTGCCAGATTGATCTGTTTGTGGAACTAGCGAAGCAAAAGGTTTGGTCGATTGTTGTTTATCATCTTCCTCATTTTTCTTTAATTATTTTCTTTCCGATTAGCTTTGGTTTGGGGTGCCTCAGTCGTCTGTCCATCGTAGACGCATGAGGGTCAAGCGTGCGCTTTAATAGTCGCTGTGAAGGTATGGGGACATTTTAGGGTGTTGTGTTTAGAGGAAGCGTTCGGAATAGTGCTGAGACACACAGTTGGCCTACTTCCAAGATAAAAAGAAATTGACATTTTCTTTTCATTCTCTTGAGTTTCTCGCTTTACTTCTACCTGACAAGCTTTTTTCCTCATTGGCCAATGCTTATCCTAACTGCTCAACGGTGCATAGGTAGAGTGGATAGTTTAGTAAAGAAGGAGATTTGTAGGGCAGGATAGGTTTCTGGTTTCCAAACGCGTGGTGCTTGGATCGAACCCCGGCTCCGAGCTAGCCCATGCCAGTGCGTTCTCTAAATTATCGGCATTTTTTTGAACTGGAATTGGTCTCCTTTTGAAAAGTAGGAACGTTGACCTGGACATCGGGTGACCACGCAGTAAGTAGGTAGCCCACTCTTGCTTTTAACACATTGCGTACCGCGTGCGCCACCATGTGGCGCACGATTTCAAGCGAAAGATCATAGTTTTATCTGATTTATTTGGCATTTTTCAATGCTCCTGAAGTGTTTGCACTCATTTTCAGAGCCAGGAAACAATAGTATCATCACTGATAAAATTGTTGATAGATTAATGATGATGTATTTTCTGAAACATAAAAAGGTAGGATATCCTCGTATAATGGCGGTCCGCAATGCGTTAAATATGTATAACCCCTTTTCTGAACTGAAGTCCAGTACGTGGCGCATTTTAATAGAGAAAAATAATCAGAGCAAGCTCTTTGTCTTCTCGCAGGATGAACTTTGTATGGTAGCTATTAATAGGTGGAAATAAGATCTGCTTCATCATGAGGAGAGTTAGGAGATGGGGGTGGGGGCTGGGTTCGATAGCTAAGATTAAGCAGGGCAGTTTGAGACAGCGCTTATGAGCTCCAAATGTTTTCAAACTCTCTTTCTGCATATCTTTAGGATCTCATTCGTGAAAACTTTTGTTTAGGAAAACCTGGACCATCTGGTTTCTGAGAAGTTGCGCTTCAACGATATTTATGGAGACCAGGTGAGTCCCGCAGAAATAAAGCTCTTGATACTTAAATATTTCAACATTCCTTGAAAATGGTGTTCAGATGAAAATAGCCGACCAAATACGTGATCGAATGGTAAACGAGAGAACACGACAATCCCTTATATTGGGTTACGAGGAGGCCAAGTATGGATATAATCCGTGTAAGTTTGGAAATGTTCAAATGATTGCAACTCGATTTTAGTGCTTACTATTGAAGGTGCCGTACGATATTCACGATTCCAAAAATTCCAAACTCACTGAATAAGGCCCACTATTCCATCCTACCGAGATGGGTTGAACTACATACCAGACTTCTCTTAGTTAGCTGAAAAAATCAAGCCGCTGACTCATGACTCATACTCATGAGTTGCTTGGGTCTACAATCGAACGGAAAATGCCTTCCTGAGACTCGAAGGCTCGCGGCAAGGACTTATGGCGTCTATAACTTGGATCTATGCACACCCAATGTATGGGTGCCCGCCCACCGATTATCAGCGCATTGGCACCTGCGTAACGTTTGCCCTCATGCTCTCTCATTTTGGCGTCCAAACTTTTCGTAAACTCGTCCACATCCAAATTGAAAAACTTTTATTTTCACTGTCTCAACGCTCTATTCCAATTTTTCTTATGGGTCCACCATTCCTTGCATACCCCTCCATTTCGAGCGCAGTAATCATTTCCAGGCCTCGGTGTTATGCACCTTGACGTATCCCTCACATATCTGCGTTGGTACCTGCCCAGGATGAAATTGGCTGTCTCCTATCTTATTTGATAATGCCTTCTATCTGTATAACTGTATCATAAGAATTAAGAAGTAAGGGCAGGGGTCGGAATTGGGTTGATGTGTTATTTTATTTGGAAATTAGGCTAGAAGTGCGTTTGGAAAGGCTGGTGGGGGAAAGCACAAAGCACCACAACAAGCACCGAAAATCCCTTGCGAGTTCGGCCGTGGTGTGACGGAGTGACACAGTGCTACAACGGGAGGGAAACCGCGAGAGAGCACGTCGTACGCAGAGGGCGCGAACTCCACATAAGTCCGATTGATAGAATGGCAGCGCTCGCAGCGGTCAAGCGAAGGCATTAGCCTCCTTGTCGCGCAGTACCACCGAGCCTATGCTTAGAGGCTCTAAACCTCGCTTGAGAAACGAATTTCTTTGAGAATTTATTTATTTATTTATTTATTATTTATTTATTTATTTGAAACGACGCATGAGGCAGTCGTGGGAAACAGCTATAAATGAGCAACAGTACAATCAGTTGATTCTGTCGCGACCCGTGCTTTCGGAGTCGCGCACAGGACATGGCAGTCTCTCAGGAACAACTCTATACGTGAAGTTCATAGTAGATAGTCCTTGAGAAGAGGCAATTGTATATCTGTACCAGCTGACCGCTAGAAGTCACAAGAAGGCGTTTGAAGGTGAAAGGAAATAATTAGGCCAAATATTTTCTTCGATCCTTGTTCGATGCCAAATTCAATAATCCAGATAGAAAAATGACCAAGGAAGTGCCGTATATTCAAAATCGAGTACTGCACAATGTAAATAGAAGATAGGATTCTTTTCGTGAATTAAAGGAATCTTGCGCGGAAAAATCATGATTCTATTTCAGCCATAAATCACTGGCTTGAGACTCATTATCCACGATAATAGTGAAAAGAACTGAAGTATTGCTTTCGTTTTGATTAGAAATTCGAAAACTCGAAAAGGCTGCTACGCGTTCGAATTGCCCACGGACGTCTTTCACGAATGCTGGCGACGGGGATGCTCAAACTTGGTTCTTGGAGTGCATTCACTAGAAGCTCTTTCTGGCCTTCTGCTTCGTTGCATTCACATCTTACACTTCTACTCCATCCTATTCCATCGATCGATTTGTCTCCACTCTCCGAAATCGCGCGCTTTAACCCGATTCTCTCATTGCGTCGCCTGGTACGTAGCCGGCCAAACGCCGTCTTCTTTCCATGCCTCGCCTGGCTCTGCCTCCTGGTCCTTCGATGGTCCATAACGTGTAGTTTTTGTACGTTTGTTTCTCTTCAGAAACCGAATCTTCATGCGTGAAACTTTGTGTGCTATTTCCAGTGATCACAACTGACATATTCATGTTAGGAAAGAGTGCAAGAATTTTCCGCGCAAGATTCCTTAAGCAATAATGACTCGGGCGCTTGGCAATGTGAATCATTACGAAGGATTGGTTGGCAGGTCTAAAAATGATATTTTCTAGCGAAAAATTCTTCCAGTGGAAGGAAGAACGAATATGGGATGAGAAAAAAATTGGTACGCTCATATGAGTAATTTAATAAGAAGGATGGTGAAAAAGTTTTAGCATCAGTAGATGCAGCAGCAATAGGATGAATAGGATGCAGGTGAGAATGTCAGGCGGATGACGAGATGGCTGATATTGGCTGTATTGATTAGAGATAATGCTCTAATTATGGTAATGAAGGGTAGCGAATGAAGGCTGGGTCTCACCTAAGCCACGTCCCAACTGAGGTGCGGGTAAATCATATCAGGTTTTTTACAGGCGTGTTGAAAGAGTAATAGAACTGTTCATTATGGCAAACTTTCTACGGTGATAACTGATGTGGAAGAAAGTACTAACTTTTTTCAATTTCACATTTTCTCATTTTTCCCATGGTTGTAACCCTTCACTCTTTATTTGGGGACATCATTTGGAAATGCTATTAGTGTATCCTTGAAGGTTAAACCACTTCGAGAATCGAGAGTTTACAGTAAAGACGAAGGAATGAATTTGAGATAGTGTTGGGATTACCGGCTTTTTTCAACATTTCTGCTGGCGCCGAGATAGCGCGGACTCCGTCCAGGCACTGACCAAGGAGGGCAGAAACTGCATTGGTAAAACGTGGCGGAGGCATCCCGTCCCATTTCGAAGGCTAGGACCCGTTTTCAACAAAACCGTTTTATGCGGTTTTCAAAGCATTGCCACCACATTGCCCCGTACCTTGCAACAGCGCCCTTCCAGCTTTGCCACTGGTTTTAATTGTTTTGTATAGGTAGAAGAAAAAGTGCGCGCGCAATAGAGAGCTGCGAAGCATTAGGATCACATTCGGCGATTGCGAAGGTGTAGTTTATTGTGCCCGATAGGAAGCAGATGTGGTTGTTCAATCGGTCAGGAATTACAAGAAAAGGCGAAGCTGCTGGGAGCCTTTAAAAACAGATTGCATGCGGCTGCTATGGGCGAAAAAAGTGTTGCGATAGGATGCGTTCCGGCCTTTCTGGTTGTAGTTTTTTTATACCATAAAGTGGAGCGGCCGAATACATCGGTCTCCGCCCACGCGATCTGCGTACAGTGTCCTTTCATGTGTTCGCAACAGTTTCTTTTGCTCTCCTTATTGCCGATTGGCCATCTGCCGCTGCTGTTCTCATTTTCGGGCACAATAACCTACATTAGCATCGTCCATTGTTTCCTTGTGTAGGGAAAGTTGCATCAGTGGTAAAAAACTGAAAGCAAAAACATCAAAAAGTTAACTGCGGTCAACCCGTTATGGCGAGTTGCTGCAAGCATATCTCGTGATCAAATCACTAGGATGGGTAGGATAGAGCCGTTCTGGAAGGTTACCGATGCGCTTTTCGCACGGGTCGGAAGTGAGCGACAAGGGCGCTGGGGCTTTTACTCGGGATTAGTGGTCCCATTGCCTGCTATGCAGCGGCTATACTATGTCTGTTCTCTGTCGTACAGCGTGCTCTTTCGCGTGTTTTCGCTTCTCTGCGTACTCTCCTATGCGTTCCACGGACGACCTTACAGAAAGTCTGAAACCCGTAATTTTAGCCTCCTCTTTCAATTTCTCTGACTATTTTTCACTTTCAGCTCACTCTCCTACCTCTTAATTGGGTGCTCTTGCACAGCAACTTTATCTTGGAGCGTGCCTTTAAATGGAGATAACAATTGTTTGACATAATTTTATTTCTTCTAACCATTTCTGAGGTTTCTGAATTTATTTCGTTGACCTCTCGAACAGCCTAATTTTTCCAGATCGAATTTGTCGAGTGATCAGTGCGAAACGGTTTCCGCGCTCTAATCATCCCGGCAATTTGGTACCTACTTATCACTGTGAAGTGACGGATCCTGTAGCTTATGAAGAGTCGATGATGCCGTTGAGGAAGGCAACAACGAAGAATAGACCACCGGTGAGTGAATGCTGAAGTATGCGAAAGTCTGAGTATAATCCTGAAACCCTTTTAAATTATACTCTGACAAGATTTGAAATACAACCTCAACTAATCTATACTCTGAGCTTGGCCGGAGCTGTTGCTTGGTGCTCTTTTGTCTTGTTTTAGGCATCGCTCGTCCACCCCAGCCATATTTCCATCGATCTCAGCTTCCAGACTGTGTCGATTCCCTCCAGTGCAGAGTGCCTCTTGGACTGCCAGCCTTCGTGTCCTGAATATCTCGTTGCTGTGCAGGACTAATGTATTGATGCATTTAAAAAATTGAAGCAACGACACCAGAAGAGATTTTGTCGAAGAATGTATTTTGTGGGTGGAACAGATGTGCCATTGTCGCTTTTTGAAAGTTGCGCGACAATGGCACTAGAGCTTTACAAAGTGATTTGATGGCAATTAATGTGAAGAAATGGACGAGATATCTCTCGTGCACACCCCATGGTACGCATCATGCATTACGGTGTGGCGGCTAATTCAAGTACGCGCCTGGTTAGGCCGATGTCAGACTTTGCGATTCGCGCGATTCGCTAGCGTCCGCGGTCGCGTTGCGGTACCAGCCAATTGAGTGATTCACTGGCCGCGACGCGACCGCAGACGCTAGCGAATCGCGCGATTCGCAAAGTCTGACATCGGCCTAATGAGCCGCGAGTCAAGTCAATTTCGGACCACTCGCCCGACACTTGTCTCCCTCGTTCCAGAGAAAGGGAGTCCTAAGGGGTTCAATCGGCGATTTGCTTTGCTTCTTTTTTTCATTTTTATTCAAATCGGCATTAACCATTATCGACCGCTATAACTGCACCAATTTGATCTGGTGTTGTTGCTTCTATCACTCACATCACAGCGCCGGTCGCGAAACCTAAGAGTTTTGTGAGGTCTAAAATGTTCGAAGTCCATCACACGTAATTCCACATAATTTCGTATTCTTCCTATTCTTTCTTCTATTTCTTCTTCATTCTCTTTATTTATTTTATTTTCTCTATTTCATATTCTACATATCTTTGAAGGAAGCGTTCAGCGCAATCATATTTCAGTTGAATGACACCGCATGGAATGTTGCTGAAGTCTTCGCCACCGACAAAGTATTCGAAAAAAAAAAAGGCGTAAAGGTCGCTACGTGGGAAAATGCCGCTGGAACCTCAGATGCCGAAGAAATATCCTTACGACAGGTATTCACCCAGAGAAAGCCCATAAAAGAAGTGGTGGAGTAGAAGGATCGCAGAGGAATGATCAAAGTAGACCCTGGGGACAAGCCCCCGTCTATCGATGACTGCCTAGCGTTATTAGCGCATATCCCGGAGGCCAATTATATTGAGCAAGATCGAAACTGCAAACCCGGAAATGTACACTAGTAAACAGTCTAAAACAGGTGACAACGCCGCCGGAGGGCTCAACACACTGGTTTGAACCATCGGCCCGCCATCAGAATTTACGGAACCTGAAATTTCTAACTTTTACCCCTCCCTAGCTCCTGATCAATACCTAACGATGACTGAGTTTAGTGCAACATGGTCAACAGTACGTGATCGTTTTTGGCGACGTGCCGATTGGCCGTCAAGCGTCGATTGTCAGGCAATAATCTCACGAACGGATATCTTCAATCCCAGATGGTTCCCACAGGTGTTCATCAGCCCAGAGAACAAAGGCTTCATGTAAGTTTTCATCTATCTCAGGCTAAATTCGATCCCATCCACGGATCCGTAGCTATGGCCCTACGTGATGATAGCCTTACAGAATTGCTGATTATTTGACAAAAGGCATCGGTTTGGAACCACATGAAGATCATCCTTTGCCATGGCGTGAGCCGTACTGCAAGGAGGTCAACATGGTTGGACACGAAACTGATTTTGTGAGTTTTTTTGAAAAATATCCCACTGGTAGAAATCTTTCACGGATTGCTCCCGCCCTCCGGACTCATTTTGCTTTGCATAGTGTATTGGGAAAGACCTAGGATGGTGACTTTGTTAACCATGGCCATATGTTCTAGTTTCAAATTATTGTCCTTTTTGGTAGGCAAAATTGGTTGCAGGATCAACCATCCGTTGGTGCAAGTACCAGGGTTGGTCGTATTTGCGATTTTGGAAAGCGGTGGAGGGTCGTTGTTTCGACCCGGTTGGCAGAAGCCTTGAAAAGGAGGTTGTATTTTGAAGTTGAAAGAGCGCCTTCAGTTGCGGGGAGGTGTATGCGGGGGGTGACAGGTTTTTGAGCACATTGGTGAGACCACGACCTACGAAAGAGAGACTGCCCTTTGTTGAGAAATTAATATTTATCTCTACCCCCTCCCCCACCTGGACGGGTTAAGCTGTGTCGACTGGTTTTAGAATTGGATCTCGGAATTAAAGAATTGAATATTATAGCAGCAACCATGTTAGGGAGGGAGGTCGTATTAGAGGACTCTCCCCTCCTCCTCCCCCTCCCTCACCCTCCTCAACCTCAAGTCTGATGGTGGTGGACACGGTTGCATCGAGATCCCCCTGGGGGTGGTTGTGGAATTTTTGAAAAAGCACCACTCCTGGGTTGACCTTCGTTGGGTTTTTTTGCCTGGGTGGGGTTTGATCCACCGTTTAGTCGCTGCGCCAGCAGGCTTCTCTTCAGATCTTTCCCCTTGCTACACGGCTTTTCACCCAATTCTAATCGGAATTGTGGTCCGGTGGTGAGGAATGGCTAATATAGTTGGAACAATGGTGATCACGACTCCAAGTGCCTCTAACAATAAGCGCGTGCAAGCAACATAACTGATAATAAAAGTTTTGGGAAATAAGTTTGTGAATGATCCATAAAATTTCAGCTTTCCGGTTTGGTTACAGCCGTAAATACCCGGCCATCGAAGGAATATGCTGAAGTTCGGCTGAAAACAATATTGGTGCGACTGGCTGATCGCATTATGGAAGACATCGAAATTGCGCAAAGAATTCGATCGATGATGGAGAATGTAAGCGTTTCAAACCTCTTGGAATCCAATAAGGCAGTGACGCGTGCGGCTCCGCTGCGGTTTCTGAGTCGGCAGGCGATTTCACCTTGTTTAGTCGTGACGGGAACAGTGCTTTTGACATCGCCGATTTTTTGTTGGGAATCATTAAGAAACGGAGGTCATCCAAATTGCGACTTGACTCAATTCAAAGCTGCAATTCGAGCGTATGCATTTGCGTTTATGAGACGCGTGCGGTCGCGTCGCGGCTCAAAGGGCGTTGATTTTTGTGCCGAAGAAAGTACATTGCTTCAATTTGTTCAGTGTGAGTCAAATATAGTTGTCTTCCTAGTGACTATCAATTCAGGACATTGGTCCGAGGTGGTTAGCTGTCAATCTGGCGGCGTTGTACTGGCGTGTGAAAGGCAATCCCAAACAAGCAGCCTTCTGTCTCATCGAGGCGATCCTGCAGCAGGTACTGTCCGTTTCCTTCAGGTGCTGTACTTTTGGAATCGATGAACATTTTCAGCCAAATTACGC